TTTGCATTCCATCTAAGGCTTACTTTCGTCAGCATTTCCCCAGTACTTCCTTGTATTTCGTGACTCTGCTGTAGCGACTTCCTATGTTCTTACTGGTGCAGAGTATCTGACTCTTTTGGGCTACCGCATTTTCTATTGTCATCCTGGTGCGCTTAGCTGCTTCAAAAATTTTTGTTGGTCTCATCTACATTACGTATTGGTAGTGCCATTGCCTTCCTTGTGTCGTACAGACACAAGGAGATACATCTGGTTTTTGCCTGCGCCCAGGTTTCTCTTGATCACTTTTAAGCTTCGTACAGTTCATCATGGCATGTTCATTGTTCTCAATATCATGGGATGTGATGTCGGCTACCTCACTCCTGTCGATTAAATTCAAAAGATCTGCCAGCTTCTTTTTTTTTTTTTTTTTTTGCCTTTTGGGTTGGAGGCATTTATGTTTTGGAATTTCTAAAAAGGAGTTCTGAACAAAAACTTTGCGGTCGAAATGTCAAACTGAAAAGTTTTATGTTGAAATATTTAGCTTTTTTCACAAACACATCTAGCAGCTGCGCTGTGTACCAGAGGCCAGGCGTCGTTTGCGTCTGCCAACCCGCTCAGCTCCCACTACAGCTCCTACAACCACTACCATCTCATCAGCACCAGTAGCAAACAGTGCTCGCGGGTTGGGTAAAGCCCATGTCTCACCACCTTTGTGAGAAGAGAGTGGGGTGTAAATGAGACATGGAGAAAAGGAAGCAGCAGGACAGGAAGACATGTGCCTTGCACTTGTCATGCACTAACATTCCTCCAAAAATTACAGCCAACTCTTTAAAAATACATGAACTCTGTTTATCAGAACAAGTGCTTCTACGAGTAGAATATCAATGTTCTTGCTAATTTTTTCTTTGTATATTTTTGTTTGCTATCGGATTAGTGACCAACTCTGGCAATTTTTTGAGCCGGGCTAACGTCAGTGAAATCGTCTGGGTATGTTTTACTGCAACATTCTATCGCTTAAAGTATACAGGCTTGATAGATGTGCTGGTCGTTTACAAATAAATTGTATCGATTGCCTCAAACCAACCACCTGGATTCTCATAATTATTGGCTACATTGTGTTTGCGACGTCATGAATTCGAAAACACAGAAGTAAAGGAAACTAGGTACTGCTATAACATTTGCTATCCACAAGGAACTGGTCGTTAGGTTTGGCTAGTGCTTTCCTTTTTTGGCATGTGCATTTGTCTTCTGTCAACACCTATACATACGTTGGGTGGCAAGTGGTGTTGCGTTGTGAGCTGCACATGATTTGCCACACAATTAATGCTGCAGTCGCAAAACACTTGCTGCATTCGCCTACACTTTGTCTCAATATTACTCTTGTAATTTGGTGTTTGTTGTTGTTATTGGTGTTGGTGTAAATTTGGTGTTTTAGCTAGCAGAACTGGCTTAACTGCATTAAGAGTACAGTAATACCGCACCAGGCTGAGAAGTACATATGTGCGAAATATAACCATGCAGAAACTCTATGAACTCCATTGTATGTGAACAAATACTGGGTCTATCTGTATACAGTAAGCTGCGTGTCACGCGAAAGATTGCCTATACTTGGAGTGTATTCAATTTAGCCAATCCTATATACAGACTGTTAAATGTTGCTATCTACAAACTTACGCATTTTTTCTATAATTGTTTTAAAACACTTTAGTTTATCCACAAACTTCTGAGCATCAACATTTCATCCGTGTGGGGCAGCTAGAGACTTCAGCCGTTTGGACAAGTGTTGCAATGTGCAGTCAGACAAGCACATGACATAGCATAAACAGGTGTGCTCTGCCTTATCGAAGGAAAATGTCATTTCTAGCTGTCCTTTAAATGAATTCGAATTGCAGCTGTCCGACTGCTCGGAGAAGCTTGTGTATGTGACATGGTTATATGCATATTACAGCCTGTGTGGTAAAGTCGCACTTCTGCTTTTTGCACATTTCTTACTCCATGCTCGCAGGATCCAGAGTTATTCAGTGATATGAATTGTATAACTCTCCATAGGCTCAATGAATCGAAATCCAGGCACATCATTGACTCCCCCTGTTGGGAAAGTGAGAAGATTGTCGCGACACCTGTTGATCCCACCATTAAGTACATTCTTTGTGTTTTGTGTTGCTGCTCTCAAGGGGCGCGACAGTTGGCTAACATTTGTAAAAAGTAGGCCAATTGCGTGCCCGGATTTCGGAATGCAGTTCTGCAACTGGTATTTTAGAATCACTAGGGGGGGAAGGGGGGACCAGCATGCCTTGCCCAATTAGATTTTATGCTGTATATCACGTGCAGATGGTACTACTCAGCTGGGTCTTTGTTCCAGTATTGTGCTTTTTAAATGTGAAGCATTTCTTTCTTGGATATTGCAAGCACTTTCGGAGTCTATCTATCTCTCTATCTAGCCACTTATGTCTAGGTGCTCTCGTGATCGCCCCTGACCTTGCAGGTGAGCCAAAATTAGTATAGGAGGGCAAGATGGTTTGATATCACTGTCAATATCCCTCACTGAGGTCATCGCACACCTTTCAACAGGCAGTGGCACATACCCGAGGGCAGGTATGTGCCACAGGTGATTGACAATTGGTATCTACCCAGGAACGATGAGAACATATATGGGCAGTTTTAACACGTCCGTGTTAAGGAAAACCTGACTTCGCAGCGTTGACCCGATGAATGCAAGGAATAAATGTCAGGGTCTCGGCAGAAATTGAACCACGCCAGGTCTCTGCACAACTTTTGAAATATACCCCAATGTTCATGAAGCTTCAATTGTGGGTGCGGTGCTGGCTATCCAATTTTATAAACGTTGCATATGTACTCCTATGATACAACCGTCACGTCCGGTTAACATGAATTGTTAAGTGTCATTAGTAGAAAATGATTAACATAGCAGTGTCCAGGGCTACAATCCTCGCAAGCACCCAAACGTCATATCAGCTTAGCACTTGTCTTAATACTCATATTCCTGTTCTGTTTAACATGTCGGGGCATGCAACGCTTGTAGGTATATTTAGCGTCATTTCATAATGTGTCACTCAATAAAGAAATTACAGCATGCTCACCTTCCTTCTGCATGCTTCGCATAACGTTAATTCCCAATGTACGTGGCATCTGGTGAATTTTTTAATTTTCTCAATATTTCTACTATTTGGTGTGTGACAGGAGCATCTCGTAAACATAGATGGGAAATTCCTTTGACAAGGTGAAAAATTGATGGAGTTGGCTTTTAATGAGGTTTTTTAAACAAATAGGGTTCAGCTTAAATTGAGTACGACACAGCGAGCAATGGAAAGGAAAATGATAGCTGTAACCTTAAGAGACAAGAAGAGAGCAGAGTTAATCGGGGAACCAACCAAGGTTAAGATGAAATCGAGAAAAATAAATGGACATGGGCCGGACACATAGCACGTAGGAAGGATAACCGCTGGTCATTAAAGGTAACCGACTGGATTCCCAAAGAAGGCAAACGCACAAAGGGGAGAGAGAAAGTTAGTTGGGCCAATGACATTAAAAAGTATGCGGGTATAACGTGGCAACGGAAAGCACAAGACCTGGTTCATTGGTGGATCATTGGAGAGGCCTTTGCCCTGCTGTGGGTATAGTCAGGCTGATGATGATAATGGTTTTTCATCTAGGAAAGCTTCCTAGAGTCGTGTGTAACAACTGTACCTCTAATTTCCATTTCGCACTCTGTAATGATACTTGTCGTATTATCATTCACTGCATGAAGGAACGCATTCTACCAGAATCGGAGGTGCTGAATGTTTTAAATGGAGTGGAAAAGCTTGGGACATTCAGCAGTTAACTTGAGTGAAGACGTTGCCAAGTTTGTAGCTCTGCAAGCTTAAATACACACCAACTAGAACACAGAATTTGGTCAGTTTTATGAAAAAACTACACAAAAATTATGAGAAGCATTTTGACAGGAACTAGGAGGCATGTAATCTGAGAATTAGCGCCATCGCAAGTGGGAAGAACAGCTGCCAAAAAAGCTGACAGACTATGACAGAAAAGTCCCTGTATAAACATTTAAAGGCAAGCTGTTACTTGCAGAATTAGTTGGTCGATACATGCCATTCAGCTAAAAGTATGGCTACAAGGAAGAAACTATGTAAAGAATAGTATATTTCATAGAGCAAAGTATACAATGCTGCCACAGTCCAAACTGTTCAAATGCACACTTCATTCTGTGCCACCACCAATCATGTCAATATCAGCACCTAGTATAGTCTAGAACATATATAAAACCAATTTTAATATGTCTGCGATGCCAATGGGCACAAAATGAAGTGTGTCAGGACATCATCAGCTTAGATTTAATAGGCCCGTTCGATTCACCTGCACCAATCGGAACCAGTTTACGGCTGTGCACGTGAAGTTTAGAAATTGTGCAGTGCTAATTTAGCTGTACAGGCACAGCATGACACCCGAAACGAATGACGATGTGCCGATAAAGTGCGGGCCTTATTTCTGTTCACTTAATTTATACCGTTCAGCTTACACTAACCGATCGTGAACCGCACATGCGGACAGTTGATGAGGCGCAAGCATCTTGGCAAAACGAACTGTGTTACTAGAGGCGGTTACAGCGCCTACACCGAAGTGCTGCGTTAGCTGCACGCGCGGCTGCACCAAGCCGGCATCGTCAGCGTAGGAGGTGCAGGAAAATCGTGAACCAGTGCTGTACCTCTTTTGCATCTTTCAAAATGAATGGCAGGATTCAGAGGGCGTTATTGCTGCACCGCTGAAACGAATGGCAAGGGGCAGCACCTCGTGAACTAGTTCAAGTGGTGCGGGCGAATCGAACAGGCCTAATGTTGCTATCAAAAAGCACTGGTGTCACTGTTGGCTGCGAAGCTCCTTGTGTGCATTATCATTGGGTGGTGAACTGAAATCGCATGTCATGGTCAATAGCATTGCATGCAGTGCTTGTCTAGTACTACATTTCCACGTGTGACATTGACCTCTTGTTTGAAACGCAGCTGCCTCGAGAAGAAAACCAGTGAGAGCGCTCTGAGGCATCCCCTAGTGCAGCTTTCCAGCCATGGCAGCACGGACGAAGGTGCGGTGCTCACACCTCCTGGTCAAGCACCGTGACTCGCGGCGGCCTTCCTCGTGGCGTGAGGAGAACATCACCCGGACAAAAGAGGAGGCACTCGAGCTGATCCAAAAGTACCGGGAGCAGATCGTGTCCGGCCAGAGCACCTTTGAGGAGCTGGCCAGCAAGTACAGCGACTGCAGCTCGGCCCAAAGAAAGGGCGACCTGGGCTTTTTTGCACGCGGTGCCATGCAGAAACCCTTTGAGGACTGCGCCTTTGGCCTCAAGGTTGGGGAACTCTCAGACCCAGTCTTTACTGATTCGGGTGTGCATCTCATTCTGTGCACGGCGGCTGCCTAGGCTTCACTCACCCATTCACAGGTGCATGGTTGGTAGAGATGTTGACAGCCCCAGCACCATCACAAGTGGACCAGACAGGCCATTCCCACCACCAGTCGCAGATTGTTTCTTGGTCACAATACTATACACATGGCAGTGTTGGACACGCCCACAACACGCTTAACGTGACTTCTGTAAATATGGCTGCCACCTTGTACGACACGTAATAAAGCTGTGTTGTAAAAAAGAAAGGCTGTTCATTTTCGTAAGGCGACCACACTATCCGAGGATAGTCTACTGTAATCACTGCAGGCAAGAACTATTGACTGCTTCTCCCGTTTTTTTTTTCTAGCTTTAAAACTTTTTCTCTCTCACATTTACTTGGTTCAATAAAATACTTGCTGAACAGATGCTGCAATTTTTCACAACAGATGAATTTTGGGTTTGTAGGCGCTCCTACCTGTGTCGTGCAAACCATAACATAGAAAGGGACTCAAGTATTTTCTTGCATCGTAGTACTTACTCTAAATGACTTTCATGCAGCCATAACAGCTTATGCAGTCGTCAATCGATGAATTGTCATTTCCAAGCGTTGTCGAGGTCCAGAAATCTCTTGAAAATGCAATTGTGAGTTTCAAATTAGGAGCATACAATGCAGGCTTTTGAAGTTCAAAGGTGAACTCTGATCACCTGGCTGGTCATCTCCACAGCGGTGCGTGCAATTGTGTGTGTGTGTGTGTGTGTGTGTGTGTGTGTGTGTGTGTGTGTGTGTGTGTGTGTGTGTGTGTGTGTGTGTGTGTGTGTGTGTTTGAGTGAGTGAAACGGTGGTGAGGGGGGCTACAAAGTTGTGTAGCAAGGATGTTGCATTACATAAAAAGCCTCATTCTGACCAGAACTGATAAACGAAAGGCACACCTATCAAAGACTTGGCTGAGCAGTTGTGTATCAAATATTAAAGTGGAGTGCCTCTGTGGTGAAGTGCACCGTGGTACAGCAGGTGGCGCTGCTAGCGTGTGGCACATGACCAAAGAAAACAGGAATGCAGCGGAGATGAAAAATAGGGCACTGTGGAAATACAATAGATATGATGCTGTGAGAGGAATATGGAAAGGGGTCATGGTTCCTGGTCGGACTTTCGGCAATGCGGTATTGTACATGAGATCAGAGCTTCAAGCAAGATTACAAATTAAGCAACGTGGAATAGGTAGGCTTGCTTTAGCAGCTCACGGGAATACACCAAATCGGGGACTATAAGGGGATATGGGATGGACATCATTCGATGACAGGGAAGCTAGCAGCAACATAAAATTTGAGAAGCGATTGAAAGAAAGGGGGAGGAACATTGGGCTAGAAAAATTTTCAGCTATCTGTACATGGGGAATGTCTATACAAAATGGAGGAAGGCAACCAGAAAATTGAGGGGTAAGTACTTGGAAAACAGCAGTGGGCCTAACCAAAATACTCTCGGTTAAGAAAGTAAAGGAAACGGAGACCGACATGTGGAGAATAGGCATGATTAAATGTCCGCACTAGAGATCTAGTGAGCTGTGAAGCAGGAGATCACCAAGGAAAGGATCTATGATAATTTTCGGGGCAGTTCTTTGCTGTTAGAGGCCGGGACGGGATTATTGCAAACCAAGACTTAACAGGCCAAATACGAAGGGGTAGACACGGTATGCAGTGCGTGTGCAGAGGAGGAGGAAACTGCTGAACACTTGATAATGTTCTGTAAAGGGCGCAGAGTTTTTCAAAGCACTGGGGTTTAGGGACAGGGAGGGCAAAATAGACATTAAGCGGGTAGAAATAACTAGAAGAAGGATATCTGATTAGTGGCTACAATCAAGGCACGAGGGAGAATTAAATCCTTCACTGCAAAGTGCCAGTGCTTAACTTCATTTTAAGGAGAAAAAAAAAAGATAAATCTAGTTTTTGTTCACTAAGTATTACGGCTACACGACGTTAGCCGCCGCTCGATCTAGAGGGCACAGCCATATCAATCCATCCATCTATCCACATTCCTTTCTCTCCTCTGGATCGCCAACAAAGGCGCGCAAAGGGAAAGAGAAACCGGTCCCGAGTCTACTGAGTGGAGCGAACAATAAAGTTGGTTGGTTTCGAGACTCGGCAACAGGCTTCGTCTCTGCGTCACTCGCGCGTATCAACAATTGGTAGCCCGGGCGTGATACGAACACGCAACCTTCAACCACTGCAGATTTAGTGACGTCGACGTTTCGTGTAGGCGGAGCAATTCGTCGTCATCGCGTTGAGGAGCCGCCAATTTGTTGAGGTGTAAGCGAGGTTAGGGTGGCTAGAATTCGAGGCACCCTAGCGAGGTTATGGGGCTCACTGGGCTACGCTGAAGGGCATTGTTGACAGCGTTATCAATTCTTTTGATGTGGCGGATGTCCATGATAAATTCAGGTATGTATGACATCTGCCAAAATGCACGTGCAGTATGGGCGCCCCCCTCAGTACTCGTTGACCGCAAGGCATACGTGAAAGGTTTGTAGTTCGTTAGGTCCAAGAAAACGGTACCTTCAAAGTAATGCTGGACTGTCGCGTAGGCGGCCAACAGTTGGCATCCGAAGGTGCTGTACCGCTGTTCGGTGGGTGTCAGTTTCCAGGAAAATAAAGCAATTGGTCCCTTTCTCCGCAATGTTGAAGTACGTAACCCACAGCTGCGTCTACTGCGTCGATCATAACACACTGCGGAACTCCCGGTTGCAGGTGAGGAGCGCGGCGTTGGCATTGCGTCTGTTTCCTAAAACGCTGCTTCTTAAGAATATTGGATTAATTCAACAAATATTCATATACACAGAAGTAAATTCAATGCAAATAATATTGCAACATATGAATATATTACATTATAAGCCAATGGAGGCGAAAAAGGATTGAGGCTCGTGTGTCCAGATTTAGGTGCGTGTCAGAGAAACCGTGGTGGCCAAAATCACCGCAGCCTTCGATTACAGTTCCTCATAATCATATCGGTTGGGGATGTGAACCTCAACAATTATGTTATGTTCTTTTACCTTTTACTGTACTGTAAATTGTCCCTGGGTGTCATCACGCCTGCTTCGAGGTAGCTTGTAAGCGCGCTTTTTCCTTTTGGAGAAAATTGTCACAGTTACACCTCCAGGACGAGACAATCATATAACGAGTGCGGTAGCAACAAATTGGAATGCCACACGAAGAACGGCAAGTAGCTCGAACCCTAGCGCGCTGCTCAAGCACAAAGGACGCACGAGAAGAATGTACACAGCACGGGCGCCAACAAATGTCCCAGCTCGTCACTTGCAACGTGCTGCTCAAACACAAAAAAGAGCGTGCGAAAATAATGCGTAGGTATACAGAAGGCGAACGCGAACTGACATTTGCCATAGTTGTTAATTTGTCATGTTAGAACAACTAGCCCCTACTTTGGTTGTTAGTTCTCATTAATATTGTGTCTAAACGAAGAAATCGAGCTATTAAATCTACACTTCTAGCCCCTGCTTAGGCTCTTCCAGCTAGTGGTTCACTCTTTTCGCAAGCGTGGCCGTTGCAGCGAACGAAGTGACCTTCGTGCACTCGGCAACATTGCGGTGAAACAACAAAGTGTACAAAGCGCCCCGTGCTAGAAAAGTGCGCCCGCACGGTTGATTGTGACCTGTTGGGCAACCTACAGTGGATAACCCTCGTTGGTGTAGCGGATATACCGCTACACCAACGAGGGTTAGCTTGCCGAGGACACCACGCCGCGCATTGATAAAGCTTGAGCTCAAGCTCTTTTTCTGTTGGGGGGGGGGGGGGGGGCTTACGCATCTTATTTTTGTGCTAAATAAGCAATATTACTTTGCTCTTGACATGTTTGCCGTATTTGTCACGAACATTTACACTAAATTCAACTGTTAGCAGTCAATTTAATTAAGGAACTATTTGCTTACGCGCATGCTGATCCTTTCTTTGAGGCCGCCACTGCGCCAGAAAGTTCCATGGAAGTACTCCCTTAGTTTGCGCACGGCACCCTCGTCTTGCAGTTAATCCCTCCGTGGACTAACTGTTGATTGCGGGGACGAAGTGGAGCACTTGCTCTAATTTCGCGCTTTTGCGGCTTAGAGTGATAACGTTATCGCAATAACAAACTGAATCTTAAACGCGAGGTATTTTGTCACTGCGATCGCAAAATGGCGCCACGAGTTTTACGGCTTTTTCTTTCTGACTTTCGTACTTCTGTCCATCTTACAGCTCCGATGTCAGATATTCGAGGCCTGGATGACGCAGCAGTTTCCTCGGCAGAGCCCGTTCGACTATCTGGGATTTCTCCCGCCAGCCTGGACGAATTCCGCAGCATCTTTACGAGAGCTATGGCGTGAACTTCCGCATGTCTTGCACAGCAGCCGAAAACCGATCCTGCCAGATACTTGGAATCCTGTCTGTTTAGAACGAGTGTTTGTGCCAGGCGAATGTAGAATTACAACTCGTGCCCAAGACGCGCAACCAACTCGCCGTTGCGAGCATCGACGGCCCGTTCCTACGAGACCATTATGTATACGTCGAAACATTTCTACAAGGTTGCCACTCTCCTGTACTGGCTTCTGAAACAGCATCCCTGCGTTACTGAGCTCGAGTTGGCTTGCGGTAGGCTGAATGTCTACGAAGGGCTAATCTGCGACTCCCTACAAGGAAAGACGTCCTTGATGAAATTGAATCCGCGAGACACGACGCACGTCGGTATGGGGCCTCGTGGGGAAGTGTGCGCCACCTTCAGTAACCTGACGCGTCTCGAGGAAATTACGTGCGACACGCAGTTGCAGTGCGGACACACGCTTGCATCCGCCCTGTCGAACCTTGTCATCAAGACTGAGCCTTTGGGCGTTTCTGGCGGCGCTTTCGCGAAACTCCTCAATCTGAACTGAACTGCGTGGTAGCGACCGTTTGTCGGCAGGACCATAGCAGCCCCTTCAGAGAGTACCTGAAGGAAACCTGCACGTTACGAAAGCTGGGCGTGTCTGGCTTCGATAGATCCGTCGAGTGCAGTCTTCAGGACGTTTTGCTCAGTCTCCTCGAAAACAAGACCGTCACCACCGTGTGTTTCAAATGCAATCCGGTTTGTGCGAAGAGTTGTGAGATCGCAGCTAGGATTTTCGAGCGAGATCGGGTGTTCCAGTGCTTGGATGTTAGTTTCCTGTCGCACGATATCACCGTGGAAGAACGCTCGTTCAGCAACTACTGCCTCGCCTCGCTGAAGAAAAGCTCAACCATGGAGGAACTC